ATTCATTTTTTGAAATAAGAACATTTTCTATTAAGAAATATCGATGTGAAGTTAACACGACGAATAGCTACGAGGACGGATTTAGATAAACCTAAAATCCTGAATACTTGGGCTTTTCAGGACGAAGATCTGGGTGCAGGTGCTTGTGTACACATTCCCGAGCACCCTCATCCAACTGCCGTCCCCACAATATCCAGCGTTACAGACTTCAAGTTCACCTAAATCCGTCGTGATAGCTTCACATCGATTTACGAAATCATTATATTTTGGATTTATAAATAAATAAATAAATGTACATTTATCTTGAAGACGAAAGTAAAAAGATTCGCGTTTATATTTAATTGCTATAAAAGATATCTGTTGATTGGAACTTGTTCGACTGTCCTCACTTATAGACAAACGTCAATTTTTGTTTTTGTTTTTCATTTTGCTAGGATTTCATCAATCAATTAGTTTCATTTTCTAGAAAATATTTTAAAAAATAAAATACTATAACATGAGCAGAAATAAAATTAAAGCAATAACTATCATCGAAATAATAAAAAAACAACACCTTTTCAAGAAGAAATAAAAAGCAAAACATTTTTTTAAATTTCTTTCGTTTGTTATTGATATTTCAAGAATATTTTATATTCTTGAGATTTGCAAAAGTTTTATGAACAAAGACAAAAATAAAAATTTATCTGTCACCTAAAAATAAATTATTCATTCGCAATAGGGGAATGAACTAGACAAATAATTTCGTTTTGTAAGAAAAATCAAAGACAAAAAAATAAAACAATATACATAGAATTTTGAACAGTTTTTATTTAAAGTTGAAAACAAAATAGAACCATATCTGATAGAGATCGATAAATCTCATTATATTTCTATAAATATTATCTTAGAAAATAATGTAATTATCTAATAGTTTTTCTTTGATATAAATCAATCTATTTTCTAATAAGTATTTATAAATATACGAATAAAAAGTAGATTCGATTTCACAAAGAAAAAAAAACCTGAACATAATTAGCATTAATTTCTTCTGCTATATAAAATTTATCAATAAGATTTTTCATTTTAAATAACTATTTATAGAATAATTCTACATGAATTTAATAAATCATGACTTCCATATATATCAAATACTCATGATCTCTAATGATTGTATAATTAGATGTAATAAAGTCAAAAAGAAAAAAGAAATATCGCCATGAAAAATTATCTGAAGAACATGGTTTATTGTAAAATAAATGAATCTATAACATTCTTAATAGTATCATACTAAAGATTGTCAGTTTGTGTTTTTTTCGAGTATATACACAGAACTTTCGTAAGACTTTTGATTTAGCATTTATCAGCTGACCTTTGAGAGACTCATAAATTAAGTTGGGATTAACTTCAGCGTGCCAAAAATCATTTCAAATACAACGAATGAAAGAACAAGCATTTTACCATAAAATGGTATACTAATGATTAGTTTGCTACAAATAATTTGCCAGTAGTGAGTATTTTCGTACGGTACACCCAGCAACTACTGAGACTGGTTGTTTTGAGATTTATTGGAACTTTTCAATAAATTCTTACGCATTTTGAGATAAATTCTGCATAATTTCTCACTATATGTGTACCTGCATACCTCCAGTTGAGTGCGCTGATATATTCACTCAAGTCAATGTATAGATGCATATTTACAACGTATACCGTTAAAATATTAACACATTCAATAAATCCCTAATAGATTGTCAATAAATAAGTTCTGGTAGTCTCTCAAGGTAAACCTATCAATTTAGGCAAGTTTGTCGATTTCTATGGAATATAGACTTGAAAAGTGATTTTGGTCATTCCTAAATGATAGTTCTGAAACTCTTGATTCTTATAGTATGTTATAGAAAAATTTTTTTTCTATAACTCTATACGAAAAAAATCGGTTCTATGATGTATGTAGTTGAGAAGACTATTGCTACAAAAAACCTGCAGTTTCTCTCTCCAATGTTAATTTTCTCGCCTCTAAAAGGTCGACTCATAACATCTAAATCAAAAGTCCTAGAGTGAGAGACTGAAAAATGAATGAAAATTTTATTAAATCACTTTTTTGATCAATAACGAAAGACTTAACTTGAAAATCATCATCCGAAAACAGTCATCTCATTATAAAGATAAAATATCAAACAGAAGATAATTAACTCTATTTCCATCGTTTTATATGACAGAAGGCATACAAAAAAAACCTACATTTATTCTGTGGGAAGATACAGTTTACAACTTGTAACAATTTAAATGATATTGATATTATACCACCACAAACAAGTATTTCATCAATCAATGAAATAATATAACTAAAATTTGATTAATTCACAACTACTACTTTACAAGATGATATTGTTCTTATATTGAAAAGTTCATATGACATAATTATATCTGTATAAGTGTATTAGTTAATAAAAAGAAATGACATCTGAAGAACCTACCAAAGATGGCTATGCAAATGATTGATGTGTGTGGGTGTGTACCTTCTGTCCATCTACTAAAGCCCGTCGCGCCCAAAATATACGGATCCGAACTCGGTCGAACCATATTTCGATATTTGCAATGGAATTTTCTAATCGGAATAGGATAATCACTCCAAAGATACAAGATACTTTTTTCCAGTTTTTTGCATTCGGTGACTAGTGCATTCTACACATTTCTTAGACGAGTCATCTGAGAAATGTGTAGGATAGAGTCCGTTAAGTTCAAAGTTTTCAGATCCCAATCCGATCGTATTTGAGTCTGGGGCCAGTCCAACGGGCTCTACTATCCATAGCCTATTTCACCCTTCGACACAAAAAATGAAATAAATTATCAAGATAAATTGGAAATATAACAAGTGGTTTATTAAAATCTATTGAAAGACATTTATATTGTGTTCTAATACGACATGATTGAAATATATAAACGGTGCTAGGACGATGGATCGCATGATATATTAATCTAAAAAGTATTCTAAAGAAGCATTGTGGGTGAATCTTGATATGAGTATGTCGGTGAGAGTACACAAAAGGTTAACAATTTTTTTCTTTTAAATATATATTTATCGATAATTAATTTCAGTTAATTATATTATTATTCTATTTAAAAAAAAACGATGAAATATCGTCATCAACTACGATATGTAACACTATTGTTTGAAGATTCTATTAAACAACGAATCTATTATTAATTGAAGAAGCAGTTGCTATTCATCAAGTATCGATCGGTTATTTTGCTGACGAAAAACAACGACAATAACACCCACTGTAATGATAATAATCAAAGATAGAATAAAAATTAAACTGACAAATATAACAACATGATGCTAAAGTAACCAACAAAACAAAAAAAAATAAAGCTATTCATAAAAACAAAGAAATGTTTTTTAATAGATTACAATCATGCAGATTTAATTAAGATATTAATGTGTTTATAGATGAAATATGATTGCGGTTTATTCATTTTTCACAAGACACAATAAATATGTACTCAGTATTTAACCACAATACGCATCTATATGATAATTTAGTCATATATTTTTCATTATTACTCAGCTATTTGTTATTGTTGCTCTTTCTTAGATAAAGAACAACCCACGAAAATTAAATAAAACATCGATTCTTTCGCATTTTCATCGAATCTCATCATACTCAACGTAATCGATACGTCATAGAAATTTATGTTATTAAAAGGTATGAATCAACTGTAAAAAACAAATGCCTACACATTTCTCTTTTTATGACGACAATAACCCATATCATTAAAATAAGAATCGTCAATATTAGTCATTTTTTTCGCATTTTTCATTTTGTACCATCATCAGAAGCTTTCTTAAATACCAAACACATATGCTATTTGCGTTCATTGACTACTTGTGAAACGAAAAACAAAAAAAACATGTTATCAACAACATCTTGTGTTATATGTGAAAATAAAGATATTAATGGTACATTTAGATGTGAAGGATGTTCACAAACATTTTGTATAAAACATTCCAATGATCATCAACAATATCTTTGTCATCAATTAAATGAAATAATTCATGAACATGAACATATTTTTAAAACATTCGGCGAAAATCAACAATCATCATTATTATACGATCAAATTGATCAATGGGAAAAAGATTCAATTATAAAAATACAAAAAACAGCACAAAATGCACGAATACAAATTGAACAATTTGCTGAATTACAAAAAGGTTTTTAATAAATAATTTTATGATTAAAAGAAAGACAAAAAAAAACATTTTTCTTTTTCTAAAATTTAGAACATTCAAAAGAAAAATTTAATCAAATAACTAAACAATTAGAAAATGCTCGTCAAAATAATGAATATTTTGAAAAAGATCTTTATCGATGGAAAATTATTTTAGAACAATTTAAATATGATTTAACTATTCTATCACCATCAATTATTTTTTATGAAGATCATAATCAAACATTAATTAATAATATATTTATTTTAAAAATGGATCAACAATCAACTTTAGATGAAACACTTATTAGTTTTTCTGATGAAATTCATTTTGATGATAATCATCATATTGCTATGCATTGTGGTCCTTATAGAAATCCTGCTTATATCAGTGGTAAACAAGAATATTCATCAGGTCGATATCAAATACGATTATTTATTAGTAAAAGAACAAATGAATTTATTCTTTCATTTAATATTATATCAAAATTAATGCAATTATCATCAAATTTATTTGATTCACAATATTTAACATATGGTTGGCAAAGTGATGATTGTATTCATCCTTCTCAATATTGTTTATCAAATGAAAAAATTTGTCTAGATTTAAAAGGTAAAACAAAATTTCATATTACATTTTTAATTGATTGTAATAAACACAAAATTAGTTATTTCAATGAAAAAACAAAACAAATAAGAGAAATCAATGTTGATATAGAAAAATGTCCATTACCATGGAAACTTTTTTTTTATTTATATGATATTGGAGATTCTGTTCGACTTCTTTCTTCATCTCAAATATCATAATTTTTGTTAACTATCATTACTTTTTTAAAAGTAGTACTTAAATAATAAACATATAAAAATATGTCACAAAGACTAAAGTTTTTTTTTTTCTTATTCTTCTATTTTCTTTCTGGTGCGGTCGATGTATTGAAGACAAAAATAAATAGTTACTTTACTTCTTTATATGCACAGAAAAGTAAAAAAAACAACCTTTCATGGCGTCTTCATCTACATCATTAAAAGCACCTTGCGCCACGTGTAGCAATAAAAGTGCAGGTATATTTCGATGTGAAGGATGTTTACAAGTATTTTGTCGAAAACATCTTAATGAACATCGAGATTTTCTTAGTCATCAATTAGATGAAATTGTTCAAGAATATGATACTTTACAACAAACTATTGTTGAAAATGAAGACAAACACATAAATGATCTTCCTATTCTCAAACATATTGATCAATGGGAAAAAGTATCGATTGAGAAAATTCAACAAATAGCAGAAGAAACTAGAGTACAAGTCAAAAAATTAACTAGTTTGGAAACAGGTGAGTTAGAAAACTGATTAATTTTCGTTATATATGTGTTATTTGATAGTATCAAATGAATTACATAATCTTGCTGAACGACTAGAAAAAGCTCGTATAGATGATGATTATGTTGAAACAGATCTTCGAACATGGACAACTATATTAGAAAAATTGAAAGATGATATTAATACATTTTCTCCTTCGATTTTTATTCAAGAAAATCCAAAAGAAATACTTATTGCTAAAATTCATGTTTCTACAATAGTACACCAATTAAGTCAACAGGAAAAGTTTGGAAAATCCTATGGTCCAGTTTGTATTGAAAACAATGGTTTTATGGCGAAACATATCGGTCCAAGGAACGGTACGGCTTATGTGCGCGGAATAGGTGCATATTCATCAGGGACACATAAAATTCAATTCCTATTCACAAAGAATAGTCTCAAATATATCACCTGGTTTGTTGTTGCCTCAGCGTCGACGCCGATTGGTAGAACATCCAAATTACCTTACAACACCTATGGATGGTCAAGTGATGATAATATTTATTGTCCTGATGATATAAGAACAGTCGATAAAAACTTTCGAGATATGAAAGGTCAAACTTCATTTGAAATCAAACTTCAACTTGATTGTGACAATCGAAAAATTAGTTATATCAATCAACGAACAAAGAATCAAAGAGAATTAAATATCGATATTACAAAATGTCCATTTCCATGGCAAGTCGAATTTTATCTATTTGAGGTTGGAGATTGTGTTCGTCTTTTACATTAATGCGAAATACCATAAATGGCCTTCGTACCTTGTGCATTGCTATTCTTATGAATTTTTCCATAATATAGTTTACAAATACTCGAATATATCAATATTTGTATGATACAATGCAAAAAATGAAGTTCATATAATTTCCTAACCCTTTTTCTTTTACATAATAACATAAGGAAAGTTTTTATTTTTGAGGTTAATCTATTTTATCATAGTTGAATTTAGATATTCAAGATTGAATATGATCTATTACTATCCTTTCGAAATTATAACATCCAATAGTAATCTATTTTTTTATTAAAAATAAAAAAAAAATATTATAATAACTTTCACATGTTTAATGAAGTTTTGTAGCAGCGATTTTTATCATTAATACACAAGAACGACATGTTTTTATATACAGTAAAACTTAATTTAATATTCACAATTGAATTTTAAAAAAAAAGAAACTAATTTCAACAGGTTACCTAGTACAATGGCTTTGACATAAGATAAAAAATATATTAATCCTATTTCTGAATCATCCATTTTGAAAGTGATCGATTATGCTATAACCTTGAGTCACTGACGATATGAGTAAAGAATGTTTATGAATGTTTATTTAAAAGGAGAATGTAAGCAGCGTGGCGCAGTGGAAGCGTGCTGGGCTCATAACTCAGAGGTCGGTAGATCGAAACTACTCGCTGCTATTTCTTCTTTTTTTATCTCGATTATAACATAATAAAAAGAAAACGAAGATTTATAAGCGATACAATACTTTTTTTTTTGATGATTAATATTTAAAACAATATACTAAAGTATTCTTTCTGAAAATTAAAAGATTTTGTAATGATCAAGGTTAATATTATGTTTTTATATTTTTATTTATAACAAAAATAAATATATCCTTGATTAATTTTGTCCAAGTATATGTAGAAAAACACATCAACTAGGATAAAGACGACTCTTTCGTTCTGTTTTCTTCATATTGGTTATGTATTGTAAGAGAAAACGATAGACAGGACTAAGAGTAATTAACTATTGTGTAAGGTTTTCATTCAAACACGTGAAATACAGGTAAATCGACAAATCTTAATAATATTCGAGATTAACTGAGTGAATCTTAATTTATAATTTAACACAATTTTTTCAAGTGAATTTTTATGTTTATTAATTCAAATACAAAAAAAAGGCATTGAAACTAACAACAATCAATTTAATACGCATCTTATTTTCAAAATAAATTTCTCAAACTATCATTGTTAAAATCTTTCTTATCTAAAAGAAATAAAAATCTTTTACTGAATCAAATCTTAATATATAAAAAAAATTTTTTTTTTTCTAGAATTAACGTCAAAGTTAAAATTAATATATTTGATTATGTTAAAAAAGATCGATACATTATCTTCATCTTCACAATCAACATCATTTGAATCAAATTGTATTATTCCAATATTAATAAAGAAAAAATTTATTTCAGAAATTTATTCTAATAACAAATTAGAAGACGAACTTATATTAATCGAACCAAAAACATATGTTGATTTATCCTATTGGAATTTAACTGATTATGATATGTTAATTATTATTAAACAATTTTTTAGAAATAAACAATGTATAGAACTTCGATTATGTGGAAATAAAATAACATCAAAAGGCACATCAATTTTAGCTTCAAGTTTAATAAATAATTCAATATTAAAAAGTCTTGATCTTTCTTATAATCATATATCAGATAAAGGTGTTTATTCTTTAAGTAAAGTTCTTTTACCAAATCAATGTTCATCTCTTAAAATACTTTTTCTTAATAAAAATGGTATTTCAAATGATGGTATATATTATTTATGTGAAATGCTTCGAACAAATCAAACATTAACTGAATTATGGTTATCAGATAATGAAATTGGAAATGAAGGTGTAATACAATTAACAAATATATTAATTAATTATAATAGAAAATTGAAAGTTTTAACACTTTCATATAATATATTTATAACTGATTCGAGTATTGATTATCTTCTTCAAATGTTGGAATATAATAAGACACTAGAAAAATTTTCAATAAACAATTGTAATTTATCTGAAACCAGTAAAATGAAACTTCAAGAAAAAGCGGATACAAAGAAAATATTTGAAATTGTAGTGTAATTATTCATTCTTTCTATTTAACAATTTTATCTTGAAAAATTATGAAATAAATTTATATTATTTAAATATACTAGAATAACTACGTTAATCTTTTATCCTCGACAGCATTTTCAGAAGAACCATTGATAAAATAATTTTATAAATAGAGTATTGGTCTATTCAATATGCTAATAGGATTTAACAACATATGAAGTTTTGAGATTTTTTTTTCTTTGACTATATAGCTGAATGAGCAAAAGCAACATCAATCTTTACTTTTCTTTGAGCTATTGTATAACCTCCAAAGATATTTCATTCATAATAAATACTACAGTCAGCAACAAATATTTAAGCGAATTTTGTTTTTCTTTCATTTATGTTTTGCAAATTTTCTTTCACATTACCAAAGGACACAGACTTGATTGAAATAGTGATTGAGATGCTGACTTCATGATGCACTATGATAGGAGGGGATTCTATCTTCCCATATAGATCTTTCATACTGGAAATGTTTTTTCCAGGTAAAACTAGATTTAAATGCTTTCCGGTATTTCACGTTTCCTAACCAAGAGGATAGAGAATTTCATGCTCTATCTGTTTCTAAAAAAAACATTTTCTTCCTAGAATTGGTCTTCATTTCAAAAATTTGATTTTAACAAGAATAGTGAAAAAAAAACGAATTGCTTTTTCCCGCCAAAAAAAAATTTAAAAAGAAAAGTTAGTCGTGTTTTGCCAATACTTTTGAAAAAATAATGGACATGAAAAACCAATGATATTAAAACTTCGAATACACCATTTTGTTCTATTCTGAGTATTCTGTAATAAATTGGGATAAGAGAGAATTTATAAGAACCAATTGCACTTTTTCCGTTTTTTTAGAAATAGATAGAACATGAAAATTTCTATTAAGTGTAGATAGAGAAGATTTCGTTTCGAAAAATTCGATATTTCAAAGGTGCAGCAATGAAAACAAAATATTGTTTTTTATCAATTAATAACCTATGAAGTTCACTGTATGTCTGCTAACTACTCATTCACCATTTTGCTTTCTGCATACAGTTACATATAATCAACTCAATTGAACAAAATGAGATTAAATATATTTTCATATGTCGTTTTTTTTTCTAGATTATTCATTGATTGAGAACATGATGAGAGATCGAATGAACTTGAGTTGACTAGATCTTAAAATCTGACTATCTTGAGTTTTAAGAATAGGTATCATTAATTCGAATGAAACTAAAAAGATATTCATTATTCTCTTCTGCAGGATAAAATGACAAATGTGCTAAAGATTGGATTCGAAACACGTTTTCAGAATGTAGTGCACTTTTCTGTGTAGGTGTTATGCATGTTTAATTTTTCAAGATCATTTATATATGAGTATTTATTAACATGCCATACATAAATATATAATCATCTGAAGAATCTATGACAATAAGTATAAAGAAAAATCCCAATAAGCTATTAGAAAATATATATTTTTTAATAAAAGAATTTTAAGTAAGAACTAAAATTAAGTAGAACATTTGGTGAGATATTGTTGAACATGTCTAACACTTGTAAGACCACTTTCTAATGCACCATCAATAAATCCTCGCCAACCATTAGATATATCACCACTAGCAAAGAATACTGGTGGTTCTGACTTTTGAAGTGCCATAAGACTTGAAGACATTTGACCTGGTTTATACCAAGACCATGTACTCAATACAAATGGATCATTTCGCCAATCATGTCCTAGAACATATTTAACTTTCACATTAGGAAGTAATTTATTTAATTCTTTTTCTACAGCGTCAATATTCTGAATATCCAATATTCCATCAGGTCCAAATCCAACAATAAAAAATCCATCTTCATCATCCGTATAAGCCATAGTTATTGGATTTGGATATGGTGCAAAACCAAACCAATTACCAACAGGTTCTTCTAATTTAACCCAAAATTTAATTCCACCTGGGCATTGCCCAATGGTTATAGCTTCTTGCTTTTGTAATTCGAGAGATGGCATAAATTCTATTTTTTTTAATGCATTCAAAGGAACAGTTACAATTGCTGTTCGACCAATTAATAATTCATCTGTTTGTGTACGAATAATAACACTGTTTCTACTAGTACGATCAATAGATTTAACAGATGTTGATAATAGTAAAGTTACTTTTTGACAATCATTTAATATAGCACGTGCTAATGCACTTGTTCCTTCCTTTATTTTATAGCGACCAAGTTTTTCAAACATTCGATTCATATCATAATCTCCTAATGCCCACCAACGAAGATGATCAATAAATCCTCCTTGTGCAATATTACCTTGCATATTCATTGAAAGTAATGATAATAACATTTGAATTATTTCTTCATTATTATCATCAAGTGAATTTATGACTTGATTCAATCGATCTTGCATAGACAGTTGATCATACATTTTTACGGCTTCATTAGATGTAAAAGGTGTATGTGGTAAAGGCATAACTGTACGTCCTTGAAATCCATCAACATCACTATATTTTTCCATTGCTTTACCCATGGCTACCCAATGATCGGCCATTGGTACTTCTTTTAATTTAGTACCATTATCAAGTAATACACTCATGCGAGTAGCTGCTGCACCTTTTGATTCAGTTAATGAAAATCCATAACGTGTAATTTCTGTCCATATATGTGGTTGACTCCAATGAATCCATGTACCACCAATTTCAAAGTTTCGATTCTCAACTTGAGTAGTCAATGTTCGACCACCAATTCTATCTTTTGCTTCAATAATTAATACTTTTCGTCCACGAAGACTAAGTTCACGTGCAGCTATAAGACCAGCAAATCCTGCACCGATAATAATAACATCATATTCTTCATTATTTATTGATTTCTGTGGTTCAATAACAGCTGATGTTAGTAAACCAACTTCAGTTAAACCATCTGAATAGTGAATAAAACCATCGCTGGTTTCTTTTAAAGAATCTTCTATAAGATTTGTCATTAATAATTCGTCAAGAAAAATATCTTCACACTTATAAAATTGGTTGTGATTTAAAATAATCAAAATATCAAAAACAGTTTGCGTTTGCGTGACACTCTGACACGAATGTTCTTTTACTTTCCTTCTGTCATATCAGTAGTAATATCGTTGATTTATTGCATTTCAACGTAGTTCATTTGCCAACACAAAGCACCAATCGTATATATTGTATAGTAGATAGTGATGTGTCACCAGTTTTTGAAGAAATTTTTACAGTAGAATGTACACGTATAATAGAGAGGAGATAAATGTTCATCGAACGGACACCGTTTATATTGTAGACACTTTTAATTACCAAATTATATATTGGCTCAAAGGCACTGAATCAGACAGTTTCATTATCAGTGGACGTGGTACAACTATTAGAGCAGGATTAATTATCTCCGCCATATGATTTGATAATTGATCGGCACGAAAATTTGTATATAGCTTATATATTCAATCATTTGCTGTTAACAAAAAAGTTCTTATGTTTGAGATGACTTTCTAAAGAAGCAAATCGTCTGATTGACTATCGTTCGTTTATTCATTTGATTCAGAGGCGATGCTGAACTTGAGAGATCAGTGTGAGGATATTCGATTTATACTTAATCTTTTGTTAAACTATAATGAACAACTTGAGTTTGCCAACTATACTTCGTCTTTTACAATAAATCTTTCCCAAAATTTTTAGAATTTTCAGCAAAAAAGTTACTAAGAAACGTGCGATAGAATAGTATAAAATAATTAATATGAAAAAACAAATAGAAAAAAAATCATTGCTATCAAAGTATAGACACCAATGGAGTTAGATAATGCAAAGATTTTTCTGAACGACAATTACTCAGGTATATCTTCTTTCTAGTTTGCTTCAATTCGTTAGATTATCATCTAGAGATACATGGTGTGATATTTCTAATTAACACTACACATTAACATATAATGCATTTCCATTAAAGAAATTTTCCATTAATTCTTGTTCTTTTTTGTCTATTAATGTATTTGAATTTTTCTTAGATGAAACTCAACATTTCTGAGATATATCTTTACGAATGTCATCTATGAGATAGATATTTTCGAAAATTAGAAAAGAAAAACTAACATTTCACTCAAAGGAACTTTTAATTTACAAGTAGAAAAGTCCGTAATTTCTATTGAAATGTTTATCAGATGAAAATAATGTATATGTCTGTTTTTTTATTCAACTCAAATTCATTATAACACTAAAAGTTCGTCAATTAGAGATAGGAGACAAAAATGGAAAAGAGAAATAGATTGGCTATAGCTTGACTGCGGACATCTTTTTGGTTGATTAAAGGAAAGTGTCTGCAAAGCAGGACCAGGAAAGGCGAGATACAAAAGTGATCGCATTGTAGAATCAAGACAAATTTATTATGTGGAAAAAAAAATCATTGATGAAAGATAATTGAACATTTAACTATTTTTAGGTTCATAGCCAAGATTATCTGTCAGCTGTATCAATAAAAAATAGGACGCAATCTCTTTTGATAACCTGTGAGATTCAAGAGACTATTTAGATATTCTTGTTTTGCTTGAATCATAATATTATCATTAGTCATTGATGTGACACTGATAGAACGTGTCTTGCGTTGTCGAGCTTGTTCTTACTCAATTCGAACCATTATTGATTCGTCTAATTCCTGGATATATCTTATTCAGATTCATAGATTTGGATGTGTTTGAAAATATAAGAATTTAATTAATTATGAAAACCTTCTACATGGGTTTTGCTTTTTGGTGGAATTTCAATAAGATCAAATAGATTCCCAAATCACTTTAAATATCTTCATTCAGAATACATGTTTACAAAATAGCCTGGACATTAGACTAGCTCGAAGTAGAAAAAACGTCCGCAATCAAGAAGACATGCATTATAGAATGACTACTTTGGTAGTGATACCGTTTATAAAATGTTTGAAAAAATTGAAAAGAATTACATTGACAAGGAGTTAGCTAATATTAATGGACTTCAAATCATAAAGCACTTTTTTCCCAAAAAACC